ATGTGTATGAAATGCGTTGACAAGAATCGTTTTATAGAATTATTAATTTCTTGGGATATTTTTCAAAAGAAATTTTATGAAATAGATAAAAATGTTCATATATGTCTTTCTTTATTAGAAGGATGTAGATGTTGAATATTTGATTTATTCAATTCCTCTTTGAAGTAAATTCGACGTAAATGTTTTTGTTAAATTTCATGGTCGAATTTGATCAGTTTTTTTCAAGATATGAACAAAAATTGTCGATCTTCTATTCAAATTTTTTTATCAATATAAAATATCTAGTGAATGCTTGTCAATAAATTAATTTTCTTTTTCTTAAAACTATTTGGGGTGTTTGTGTTGATGGCGGCTAAAGAGAAGCGATATACTCACACCCTCAAGATAGTTCATAAGCCAATTTTACCGGTAGATAACAATAATCAAAATTTTCTCATTCATAATAAAGATCAAGTAGTGAAATAGGAAATTCGATCGTCAGCATACGTTAAAATTACTCAGGAAAGTATTAAGAACAGAAAAATCATTTGAGTTACATGGAAAATAGAATAGATGCAATGACTTCAAAAAAGAAAAAAGATCTTCAGAATGAATCACAAATGGAATACAAAGGCTTCCACTGATGAGAGAGACAATCGATCGATACTTGAATTGTACGAAGCGTTGAAGAAACATTTATAGAATAGTGAGAATAAAAATGATTTTAGTAATGGAAAAGGCTTGAAAGAAGGCATAAAATTGTATGAAAACGAGAAAATTCTTCATCAGCATTAGAAGAAATTTAATTAGTAGCCGGCAAAATTGATGTTTTGAAATATTATCATACAAATATTCACTATGGAGTGTCAAAGACATTCATAAATGATGTAATTGATAGCTACAAGCAGGAGGAATCTACAACTACAAGTGAAAATCTAAGTAATATATACCAAGATTTTTTCTCAATGTCAACTTGTTTCAGAAAGATCCCTAATAAGTTTACTGGATTATGTATGTTTCTCTTAAATTAATTGGTAACAGCATAATTCTGAATAAGAATATCGTACGACTTGATCGAGTAGAAATAGATGAAGAATCTTAATGTTTAAAACAGCAGATAAAAGTAGAAATATTATCATCTTCAAAAATTCAAAATTCGATTGAAGGACACTCGATAAAAAATAAAGATCTTATTTTTTTTCTTCCGGGATGAACTCGATCAGATAAATCAACAACTATTTATTTTCTTACCAGCTCGAAAATGATTGAAAAATAAATCAATGGATTAAATCATATCGTTTCTATCGCAATAAAAAATTCTGATCTAAAATATGTTTCGTAGATCCAGAACTCTATATATAACATCTGTTACCGTCAAACTTGAGGATGTGGTCGGATGTAATAGTGGTTATATTATTTATCTAATAGTCCAGAATTTGACGATACTAGATCATCCGAAGTAAGTATCGAAAGTGCAATAGGATGTGAGTGTTGATACTCTCTCAAACAAAACCAGAAACACTCATCCACACCCACACCCATCATGGTTTTCTACATCGGTTCGTCATTCTTCTCCAACTTGCACAAGTTAGATTCTTATCAATGACGTTATTATTTACACTTGATACTAGAACAAATATATGAGAGAGACGACATTCACATTTATTACTAATAACGAAATAGGTAAGGGACTCACGCATCTAAGCTTGCTATGTGACTTTATGTGTGCAGTAAATCTTATCATTGAGTTTTATACACAATGAAACGTGTTCTTGTCTACATGCAAGTGAAATTTCAAGGGTATTTCTTTTTTTTGTAGCAATGATCAGGGATGAACCTTTGCTTGTGGATAAACGTTTCTGAATATAAAATAAACATTTTGATAGAGCGTTGCAAAACATCCTCCACGTCTAAGATCAAGTAAAGAAAATAGTAATAGAGAACTCGAAAATGCATTTCAGTCTCCCTCGCTCTCTTCCTTTTTGATCATGTTTTCGCCTTCGAACTTTCCGAGAATTCTTTTTTATCTATATTCTACAATGCTTGGTATTTTGTTATCTGATCATTATGTAACGAGTTTTCCTCTGCGTGAGATACTGAAAGTTATTCTTTAGTATAGATGCTCCTGAGCTATTATTTTTTTCTACCGAAGCATAGGAATCATCTGTCATTATATGCTGGATTGATGCACCAATGGTATCGGTATGATTGCATCCAACACATTACACGATATAGTACTGACAGAAGGATTTAGACCAACGCTCCTCATGACTACTCAAAGCTAGTTCAGTTGCGCTATCGTCCATCTCGCCCCCTTCCGACATTTATCAGAAGATTTCTCCCGTCCCAAGATGGGACACATTGCTCTGTTCTAAACTTCTAATTCATAAGCCTACCAATAGTAGTAATGAAAGCTAATATTGTGTGATTCTGTCATGTTCAGCTAAACCAAGAAAATATTTTCTAACTTGAGTGGGTAATTCGAAAAGTTTTCGGGCTTACTAAGTCTCGAAGAGGTGTAAGGGAAAACCTTAATCAAGTTTCGAATAGTTTTTGAAACCTTTGAAGTTCTTCAGTGTTTCGATAAGCACCAAAACACTTAAAAGCAAAGTATGATGAATATGTTTCAAGGTCGAGAAATCAGAATATACCGTGGTTTTGCAATACTATCGAGGACTTCACAGAAAAAGTATAATTGAGATGTAATTGTCAGGGACGGCGGAACATTTTGAAATTGAGTGAGTCTCAATTGAAGTCTAATTTTTGTCATTAAGTAACTTGTTATTTATTAGAATGAAATCAATTAAGGTACTTCAAGTAGTAAGCCGCTTCAGACTATTTTATTGTATTGTTGTCAGAAAAATACTGCACTATATTGTTCCATTCTTTATTGATAGTTTCTAAATCTTTAGTCTCCTTCGGGCAAAAAGGTTCCTTTTTTCATTTCATTTTTTTTCATCACCTAATACACTGTGTTGAATAAAGAAAACAAAAAAAAATACCACGAGATGCAGCACAAAATGCTCTACAATTTACAACGACATTGCAAACGGAATTTCTTTGTAGTACACGCTGAATTACTTGTCTTATTACTTCAGTTAATGAATCTTATCCAAGGCCGAATTCAGATCAATCGATATGTGTACCTATTTCAGCAATATGCAATGGAATATGGCTAAACAAAAATGATTCATTAACTGATGACATAAGAAAAAGAATTCAGCATGTCCTAAAAAGTGATCTTGTGCGCAACGCCAAAAATTAGTCTCACAGAATTTAATACATTTTGAAAACAGAAGGTGCATGTATAAAATAAGCTGATCTTCATTAATTGTCAAGTTTATCATGCTGCATCTATGACATATTTTATTTTCTGTTTAATAACGTATATCAAGTAATGGAACGATGAAACAGGGGAAAATTGATTCTTCATGTATCAGAAAACCATTTTTTCGAAGCGTCACAAATTAATGATTCAGAATTAAATCCATTTCGAAAACAACAAGTAAAACCAAAAAAATAAGCTAGTCTTTGAGTGTTGTAGAACGTTTTACTACACCGCATCTTGTGATAGATTTTGTTTTTTAATACGGCACATTAGATGATAAAGAAAAGGAACTTTTTTTGTCTAAGGGAGTATTCATCAAAAAATTCTGCAATTCATTCAGTTTACCTACTAACTTATGCAAATAACACAAAAACGTGCCTCTGTGAACTGTGACTATACGATCAGTAAGTTTCCGGTTGTCTACAGCTTTTTAGTTGTTTTCATCGCCACATATAAATGTCTTAGAGATTCAAATATCCACACAATAATAGGATTGGCATTATTAAACAATACTAAGCTTGCATAACACCAAGTCTTGCCCAGTCTATACGTTACGCAACCTATAATAATTATATGTCGATATAGATCAATTTGTAAGAGAATTCCATACGTATGTAGTATGTCAATCTTGGATTCAGACGAATCTTGAAATCCTCTCTATCATTCTAAGATCCGCATCTGAACTAATCCATTCATGTTTCTAAGTTTGATCTAACATTTTTCTAGAGCAACCTTGGATTCTAAAATGGCCTAGTTCAAACTTGGAGCTCACGTCGAATCGTCAGTCCAATCCACGACTGACCTAAGTCTGACATTGGACTACAATACATTCATGTTCGAATACACATTTGATCAACTGATTTGTATGCTAGTTTTCAAATTCGGTGAATTGCATAAAAGCAAAGAATTTAACTTTGACAGTGGATGTGATTGCGGATGGGGAAGTATTTTCTGCTCCTTTTTCACAGGCACGCACACCGACACCCACACCCTCAAATGTTCGATAAAGAATTGAGAGTTTTATTATGCGCTAATGATAATGATGCTCATTAGTTTATTTTATCATGCGAGAGTTTAATGGATATCATAAGATTATATTTCTTTTATAAATAAGAAACGAATCTATAAATCTCAATGAAGCGAACATCAAGGTTTTTATTCAATTGAATCTCTAAATTTGCAAAAGACATCAACCCTTGTGCTGATGAATGTCTGTTTATTTCAAAACAGAATGTAAATATTTTATTAGTTGTTTTGTTTATTCTATTAAACAAATTCCGGTCATAATATTATTATACTTCGACTAGACATATTACGATCAGTGTTAATTTTCGTGAGATGTCATCAGACTCGAAGTGTTGATGAAATTTTTCATCATTTTTTAATGCATAGAATAAAGACCGCACATCTCCTTTGGAGTAACTAGGATAGACGAAAAGTAGTTATCTATTAGCGGTAAAACTGATTTTCGTCATGCTACTGACTTTGACGTCGAAGAGAACATTCTTCAGTCATATTAAATCAGCTAAGAGAAATGTGTTGTTGATGTTTTTTCAAAGGAAAAAAGAAGAGGAAAGAAAGTCAAAAGTAAACGAACAAAAAAAGAAAAAAGAAAAGATAATAGAAGTTCGTATGTCACATGATTATACGTTTGTGTTGTTAGATTTCTTTTCTGCTGATATCTATAGACGAAATGGCTGGTCCAAATAAAGTTTTACTAAAAATTATCATTTTGGGTATGTGATTTTAATTAATTAATTAATTAATTAGTCAATGTAAGATTTTAATTAAATAGGTGACAGTGGTGTTGGAAAAACAAGTTTAATGAATCAATTTGTTTTACATAAATTTTCCAATGATTATAAAGCAACAATAGGTGCAAATTTTTTAACTAAAGAAGTGCAAATTGATAATCGTCTTGTAACAATGCAAGTGCGTGTGTTTGTTAAAAATAGATGAAATTTTTTAAAATATTTTTTCTATAGATTTGGGATACAGCTGGACAAGAACGTTTTCAAAGTTTAGGCGTTTCTTATTATCGTGGAGCCGATTGTTGTGTACTGGTATATGATGTTACATCGATGACTTCATTTACTTCGTTAAATAGTTGGCGGGATGAGTTTCTCATTGTACGTTTTGACATTTATGGTTAATATAATTCAGCGAATTTTTCTCAATAGCAAGCTGCACCTCGTGATCCAGAAAATTTCCCGTTTTTAGTATGTAGATTGTTTTTAAACCAAGCTTCTGCGTATTTTTGTACATATTTAGGTTATTGGCAATAAAATTGATCTAAGTAATCGTGTGGTTCGTTTGAAAAACTTGTTCGTTTTGTTTTATTATTTATTTTAATATATTCAGGTTCAAACACGTCAAGCACAAAGTTGGTGTTCAGGTATACAAAAGATAAATTAATGTAAAACCTTTCGTAAAGTTTATTTTCTAGGTATATCAAATGTATCCTATTTTGAAACATCAGGTAAACAAGGCAACAATATTGAAAAAGCACTTGAAACAGCCGCACGTAATGCATTAGCACGTAACAAAAATATTGATCCAACATCGGACAATGCAGAATCTATTAAACTTCCCGAAAATAATCGATCAACACAATCAAGTCGGTGCCCATGTTGAATGAAAAACAAAGAAAAAAATTATTAGCAATCAAAAAATTATACAACGTTTAATTTATATTCTCTTGTCTTTTTTTAATAATAAGATTTTTATATAAAAACAGAGATTTATAAGATATTACTATTCTTATTGACTTTGTTCTTGTTCTAAGGGTGTGGGTGGGGAATGTTGGATACAAGTACAACCACACCCCTCTGTTAGATAACATACTAAAAGCATTGAATGATGCAACTATTTTATAACTACTCAACAATTTCTAATAGTTATCAATCGAATAAAAGGTAGGTATCTGTCTGACGGACGAATTTTTTAATTCCCATTTGTTATATTAAAGATTTGCCAATTGTTGTCATTTTGTATCGAATATAAATCATAGGAAATACATGATGAAAACTCTCCATTTGATTATGTTTAAAGAAGCGGAACTGATGTCACAGATCCATTATGAATGAATTTGTTACTCGATTGAAGTTTGTTGTTGTTCTTTTTAACCTATTGCACGATTCATTACGCTGATCAATAGAAATATTGATTATAATCAATTGCTTGTCTCAATTTTTTTTTATTATATATATATAATTGTATTTGATTGAAATAAAAATTTGAAGTTTTTAAACGAAAAAAAAACTAGTTTCTATCATACAATATATTAGTCAAATTACCAAAAACATTATTCATGGATATGTTAAAATACTTCAAATTTCGCTGAATAAAAATGGTGTTTTAACGGTAGGCATTTTGCTATCAAAACTTGTTTTCCATCCATGAGACGACCAATAATTAGATTCATCTAGTTTTTTGCGTACTTCTTCTTGATTAATAATCGAATTCCAATGAGCACTAATCAGTGGACTAATATCACTTGTCTGTGTGTACAAATAGAATCGTTTAAGTTCAACTAAATACTTGCTCAGTATTTTTTCCAAAAATAGTGGATCGACAAATTGAAGATCATGATATGGAAATGACAACAGTTTCAGTTGACGCACTCGTGGTACACATTGAAAAAAATAAACAGTTGCTTTCATACAAATTTGATCACTAAACCACAAATTTAAATGGGTAAATGCATTATTCAGAGGTATAGGTGATAAAAATACAGGTTGAGGATATTAATCACCAAATTCTATTTGTGTTCGAATATATTTCAAGACTGGTGATCGATTAAGGAAATTTAGAAAAAGAGATGGACAACTTAATTGAGACATTGTCATGTGTTCAATTGATAGTAGAGATGTTCCTTCTCCAATCATACTATTCGAGTCTATGTATGTTTTCAGAAAAGGATATCGATTTGAGTTGAAAAAGTGTTCTGAAAATGACCATGTATCTTCCCAGTTACCTTTACATTGATTGAGTAAAACACGTTCAAGACGAGAAAAATGAATACGTTCGACCATATAACGCACCGTGCTCGATGGAATTTCGTTTAAAGAAAGTGAACGAATATGAGTAAAACAGACAAGAGATTTATCATAAGCAAGAAGCGTTATTTGGTGTGATTTCGAAGAGTGAAGTGATCGAATTTGGCACGGATTGACTCGAGGTAAAATATATACAAGAAAATCAACGAAATTGATCGGTTTAATACAATCGAGATTAGCATAAAATTGACAACGATTAATAAAAGCATCAAAACGAGAATTAAGTGAAGTGAATAATGAGAAGAGTGAATACAAATCATAATATTCAAACACTTTCATTAATAGTTCATTAGACATTGATTCGAATTTTGTCATTTTTCTAAAAATTAAAATACAAAATATAAATATCGCATTTCTATTTAATCAAACTAGAATCGATTGACACCGATGAGTTCTATCTATGGTCAGTGTGAACCAAAAACCGAATCAAGCCGGGTTTCACTGGCTTGGTTCGTTTTCTGTCTCCAATTCGTATTAACAATAAAAAGTCAATGAAAAAATGATTCAACTGTGAACGGTTCTTCATTGATTTATTAAATTATCTGCAGATAAAACTAGATTTGAATGAAGTTGTTAATGAGTGGTACTTGAAAAATAATTCTATTGATTTTAGTTACAATGTTCAAAATTAAGGAATTCTTAAACTTACTCGATTTGTTCAATAGAATCAGTTTCCATTATTCTTCTTTACGATAAGTCAACTTATATGAAATGAGAATATAATGTTTCTATCGTTGACCCTTAATGCATGGAAAAATATCGCGCAGATAAATAAGACAGGTCAAACGGGCATAAACGTCGTCTATTCTTTCTGTATCGACCGGACGGATATAGTTTTGTTCTTAAAAATCTCTTCAGATACGTTGACCACCATATGCCAATTATTTTGTTTATCGAAAAAAAAAATGAATGTGTTCAGATTAAACAACTCAGATATTAGAAAGGAGTTATACATGTTTTATATGATATACTTTTTCTTCCTTTTATCTTTCGATGTTTGAATTTTTCATTCAGAAAAACAAAATGATATGCTTCGTTCGGGAATCGAACCC